GCAGGTTTTCAACTTCCTGGCTCTCTCCAGATTATGTCTTTATATGAAATAGCATCTTTTTTTAGGTGTGTGTGTCAGTTGAATAGATATGATTTGATGGTGTTTTTCTTGTTACTAACTCTGGAGAGCTAATCTCCATCTCAGTTTATTGGTAGATAGAATCTATTAGATTCTCCAGTTCTATTGTGACATCTTTCATTACAGGTTTATGTTATCTGAACTTAGAATACTATTTTTCCTTTTTTGCAAATTAACAGATAGAGAAGAAAACATGACACTGTTCTTTACACTCTGAAAAGAAATGGAAACTTTCAAATCCAATTAAACTAATTATCTGTGCCTGGCTTAGATTTGAAATCTGAAATTCAATATTTATATGGCATATTCTTATTATTATAGAAGGTAGAGAATAAGAGACGATCATATTACAATCTTGTCAGATATATTCTTGTAAACGAAATTTCGTGGAATTGTTAAGTGACCACACCTGTGTTTTTTTTTTTCGGATGCCCATGTAAACCTACTCAAGTTTGTTTGTTTGTTTGTTTTGAATTTCGCGCAAAGCTACACGAGGGCTATCTGCGCTAGCCGTCCCTAATTTAGCAATGTAAGACTAGAGGGAAGGCAGCTGGTCAACACCACCCACCGCCAACCCTTGGGCTACTCTTTTTACCAACGAATAGTGGGACTGACCATCACATTATAGCGCCCCCACGGCTGAAAGGGCGAGCATGTTTGGGGGGACGGGGATTCGAACCCGCGACCCTCAGATTGCCAGTCGAGCGCCCTAACCACCTGGCCATGCCGGGCCAACCTACTCAAGAGCTATCTGCGCTAGTTGGCCCTAATTTTAAACTAATATACAAGAGGTAACGCAACTAGTCAACAGTACCCACTGCCAATACTTGGGCTACAATTGTGTAACTGAATGGTAGGATTTGACCTCACCCTTATATGCACCCAAGGCTCCAAAGTCATATATTTAAAATCGAAAGTATTTTCAAGATACCTTTTTCCTATTTCACCGAATGATTATCATATTCAATTATCTTAATTAATGAAGCATATTTTATTTTTCAATACTGAAATAACAATAAGTTGGGGAAGTTTTTGTACTTAGCAGGCATTGGTGTGTGACGGTTTATTACGAAAAAGACGTGTGGATCAGGAATCTGTAGAGCCATCTTCAAAGGTCTCTGGCATATTGATATTATCTAAGTGATCCATTTCCCCCAAAACCTTTGAATTCTCCGATTTTAATCAAATTCATATCTAATTTTCCGAAAATAAGAATCACGAACCCCAAAGCTAACATCACAAAAGTTACGACCGATTTAGTGCTGAATGTTATCCCACACGTAAAGTTTTTCTCTTGTTAAATAGATATTATCTAACCAGCTACCGATCTTAGTAATGAGCACCTGATTAGAAGGAAAAAAAAAGAGATTAAAGTCGTCATATTTATCATGACAATGAAACCATATTTGCAGTTCTTTAGCTAGAATGTTAATATATGAATTACAATATTCAAACTAAGGAGTACATCAACATATTTATTCTGTATTCTGTGTTGTAAAATTTGTAGTAGTTAAACATACTTATGTGCAAACAAAGTGAAAAATAACTTCAGACTTCTACGCAAAAAAAAGTTTATATGTTGTAGCTTGGTTTCATTCCATATCTGTTTTCTCTTTTATTTTTTTTTCGCTCAAAATGAACGAAACAATCTATATTTCACCTTATTTACTACAAAACATTCTCGTTCTTACAGCATCAAAACATTATTAAGCTTGTAAACATTATTGTTATTGCTGACGTGAAGTTCGGGAAATATGATTCACAAAAGGATCAACGATGTTCATTTAACCTTTTAAGTTTACTTATAGGAAATATTTCGTTCTGTATGGTGTTTGGGTGTTCCTTTATTTGGTAACATATATTTATATATTTACTAATTAGATCGTTTAAGTTGTTGTTGTTTGTAATTAAGCACAAAGCTACACAATGGGCTATCTGTGCTCTGTCCACCACGGGTATCGAAACCCGGATTATAGCCTTATAAGTACGCAGACATACCACAGTGCCACTGGGGGCGATAGTTTAAGTAAAAGAAAAAAAAAGAAAACGTGAATAAAAATATATCTCAACCACACAATATCTCCTATATCCAATGCCGACGAGACCTTTCGCCTAATACAAGGGCTCTTCAGGCCGACTGAGATACGTTAATAATATGCAGAATTAATGCTGCTAATTCACTCTCAGTTCTTTTGCGGATAACTTTATAAGTTATTTTTTTCCCTTTCAATACCAAAATTGCAAATTTAAGCGAGAACGAAACGCGATCTTCATTCACTGGTAAACCTCTAAACCAAATTTCTACCGTTTTTGTATCAAATGTGAAATAAGATTTACCATGGTGAAGAATGTGAATGAAATTTTGGTGATATAGCGTGATTATACTTTCCTTTGGATTTGAAGGTCTTATATTTTCTTAAATTAAATGAATTAAGTTTTCTTGTGTTGACAACCTTGAAATAAGGGATTTTCTAGCTGACATACAAAAATACGTGTTAACTTTAAACTTAAAGTGACAGACCTGCGTGTAAACTAGCACATCGAATTATGTACGAAGTACATCTATAATCCTAAGATGATAAAGAAAAACCTTTACAGATTGATAAGAAAATTAGAATGTGTAACCTTGGATGTGTTTGGACAAAAGAAAGTACCTCTACAAACTTGATTTAAGCGAAGAGAAAATCCGAAAATTTAATCTTATTATAATAATGTTTTGTTGGATATTTTACCTAATCATATACAACTTTCAAATTCATAAGTTTATCCCAGAAACATGCATGAGAGAGCATTTTATTTAATACTTGATTAGTCACTTAGTGTTGTTTAGTGAATTAAACACAAAAATTATACAAATTGTAAGATAAGTGTAAAAAAATTGATGCTTAAAATACTGAAAACTAGAGCATTTATATAAAATGTATGTGTTAATTTGTGAATCATAAGTTAGAATAATTGAAGTAAAACTTTACGTGTCAGTCAGAAGTAAGGACATTTCATCAGAAGGCTGGCTATTTATACAAAAAAATTATTGTTTGTCAACGAATTATTACCTGTTAACTTTGTAATTTAAATATTATATCTCAATTTTAAAAAAGACGTTAAGATAATCTATAATCATTTATATCATTCTATGCCTAATATACATATATATGATATACTGATGTGTGGGTATCTATAATATTGTCTTAAGAAACAGAGCAATAGTATGATTCCAACTGAAAGTCTAAAGTGAGCTGTAATCTTAACACAATCCTGTAAGGGAAATTTCGAGGTACCTTACTCGTACGAGCTCAGTATTAATCCGACCAGATTGAAATATCTATAGACCTACATTATAACTAACAAGTCAATAAATAAAACAGGCGAACAAAAGTATGTATACATATATATTCATATACTGTATGCATGTGTGCGTATATTAGGTCGTTTTCATTTTAGTGACAATTTGTAAAACTGAGTGTTTCAATGAGTAACTCACTTGTTAATTTTTATTATTTTTATATTACCATTTTATGTATTTCACATGTATATGTAAGCCATGTTTATCTGTATATCTGATAATGTGCTGGTTACAATACTGACCCTACAATGCCTCCATGTTTACTGAAACACTTTTGTCAAATCATTATCATGTATCACGTGAACAAACATTTTCATTTTCCTTTGTGATTTCACATTTGGTAAGCGTGCGATGTAGGCCAATTTTTCATTTTCCTTTGTGATTTCACATTTGGTAAGCGTGCGATGTAGGCCAATTTTTCTTTTTCCTTTGTGATTTCACATTTGGTAAGCGTGCGATGTAGGCCAATTTTTCTTTTGTGAGGTGAAGGTATTCAACGAGTGATTTTATGTAATTATCTTTTGTTTAAACATGTAGATTGTTGTTGAACTAAGAAGTATCATTCGGATAATGCAGTAAACAATTATTTCTAAATTAATTAACACGTAGATTAGTCTTATAAGCAGAATAAGTAGATAATTTGAGTTCTTGCTGATAATCAGAAATTAGTTTGTTGTAAAGCAAAAGCTACACAATAGGCTATCTGTGTTAGTATCTAAACCGGATTTCTAGCGTTGTAATTCCATTGACTTGCCGATGAACTACCTGGGTGCAAACACGAATTAGAAAAAAAAAAACATTCATCCAATCAAACATAATTCTTGGAATTTCACGCGAAACTAGTTGATGACTATTTGGACTAACCGCCCCTAAGTTCCAAGTGAAACTGAAAGAAAGGTAGGTAGTCAACTCCACCTACTGCTAAATCTTGGGATGCACTTATCAGACCTAATAGAGGGACTTGGTCGAGGACCTGCTATATACTGGCGTGACTGTTTCTCTAGTACAGATAATTTCACAAACTGTACAGGTAATTTCGTAGATAACCTCCTTAATGTTACGGTACTAATGTAGTTGACAAAATACTTTAACATATCTGATCTCAATAACTTATTTTCGTAGAGGACTCTAGACTTTAGTATTATTTTGATTGGAGTCCCCCGATTTGACAGCGGTAAGTCTACGGATTTCCAACGCTAAAATACGGTGGTAGATGTCTACGGGAAATACAGCAGATAGCTCAATGAGACTTTGCTCTCAAACAAACATAATCTTGACTGACAATTTTAAATGTCAAATAATCGCACTGAGACGGCTGGTAAGCAGGAACGTTAATTGTATTTATTATCTTACGTTTTAATAGCTTTCCTTAATCTTAAAAATGAAAATATGTTTTCTATACAAATACTTTGTTTTTAATGTATTTGTTTCATTTTATTGGAGTTTCTAGCTTGAGTATACTTCACAGTGGCTTAATGGGCAGTTTTTTATGATGAAATTATTAACGGTTTTGTTTGTAGTTAAGCTCAAAGCTACACAATAATGCTAACTTAAGGGTTTAACGTATAAAACTAAACCATTTACTTATATACGTTTTTTTATTGCTTACGAGATAAACTCTACATTATACGTAAAATAGTCTTATTTGATAGGTTTACTATTTAAATGTGAAAGACAGAGATAAAAAACACACGAAATACTGCTATTTATTTTTTCGATCACTGGAACTCGAATTAGGCGTAGTGAATACATTTCAGTTACAATCAAATTTGAAAATGCTAAATGTTTCGCAATTTTGAAATTTGTGATTACCGAGTAAAAACCTTTTTTTAATACATTTTATACTTTCAGATTTTGAAACCACATATTAAAGTTTTCTTGTCGAAATATTCAAGCACTTTCATGACATTTTGTTTCCTAATTTACTGAGTATTAACATTTTCAATTTTTTCAAATAAATAAAAACTATTTTCTCTTCTGATAGTAAAATAAAAACATGTTACGGAAATCTTTTGTATTTATTTAGTAGGCATTGTTGTGGGACGATTTATTGTGAAAAAACACGAGAATCTTTATCAGGAATCTATATCATCATCTTCAGGTCTCTGTCATATTGATGCTATCTAAATGCGTATCCAGATGCTTATACCTCCTTTGCCATTTTCCTAAACAGCTCTGAATCCATCGATTTTGGTACAGTCCATATCGCAATGTACCCAACATAAGAACTACGAACACAAGAGCTAAAAACACAAAAGTTACAATGGATTTAGTGCTGGATTTTGGTCCACATGTAAAGTCTTTCTCTTCTAAAGTGGATATTATCTGACCAGCTACCGATCTTGGTAATGAGCACCTGGTTAAAAGGAAAAAAAAAGGTTCACGTGGACATATTTACCATGACAATGAAACCAAATTTGCAATTGTTTAGCTAGAATGTTAATGTATGAATTAAAACACTCAAAGTAAGGAGTACATCAAAGTTTTTATTTTGTATTCTACTTAGTAGTTTGTAGTAAACATTATTAAGCGTGTACATGTTACTGTAATTGCTTAAATGTAGCTCGAAAAATATGATTCATAGAATTTTGAACGATGTTCATTTAACCTATTAAGTTTATTTACAGGAAATATTTTGTTCTAATACATAGAACCAATGCTACTAACATATTATTTTGGGTTTTTTCTGCGGACAGCTGTATAAACTACAGGTTGTCTGAAAAGTCTGGAGCCACAGGTGATTTGAAGCTTTTTAAAATTTCGGATACATGAATGATTATGGCGCTGTCCAAGCATGAGAAAGTCGAGTTAATCCTGCTGTTAATCTATTATTGTTTCGAATTACAAAGGCAGCACGTGAAACACATACTTTAAAATTCGTTGAAGTGCCTATGATTCCAGTCTTATTGGACACCCAATATTTTTAAGTCCTCAACACCAAAATTTCGAAGTTATACGAGAAAAAAACGTGAATTCCCGTAACAGATAAGTCTTATATTTACCAGTTTTTGGTATTTTTTTTAAATTCAATTTTTGAATTGTGATTTACCATGATGAAGACGTAAATGGTCTGGCATGGCCTGGTAGTTAAGGCGCTTAACCCGCAATTTGAGGGTCGCGGGTTCGAATCTCCGTCATCGAACGTGCTCGCTCTTTTAGTCGTGGGGGCGTTATTATGGTACGGTCAATCCCACTGTTTTCTGGTAAAAAAGTAACCCAAGAGTTGGCAATGGATGGTGTTGACTAGCTGGCTTCCCTCTAGTATGTCACTGCTAAATTAGAGATGGCTAGAACAGATAGTTTTTCTGTAGCTTTGCACGAAATTAAAAATAAACCAAGACATAAATGGAAATACTAGTGTTCTAACGTGATTATTTGGGTTTGAAGGTCGTTTCTTTTCTTAAATTAAGTGAATTAAATTTTCTTTTGATGAAAACATTGAAATAAGGGATTTTCTAGCTGACATACAAATATCTGTCTCAACTTTAAACTAATATGCAGGTAAAATAGATGTCTAATCAATTCAAACTTGCAGACATGCACGAAAACTAGCACATCGAACTATATCTGTAATTCTAAGATGATAAAGAAAAACCTTTACAAATTGATAAGAGAATTAGAAGTGTAACCTTGGATGTGTTTCAACATAAGAAAGTATCTGTACAAATTTGATTTAAGCGACGAGAAAACTATAAAATGTAATCTAATTCCAACTACTTTTTATTAGTATATTTCACCTAATTTTATATAACGTTCGAGCTTTTAAGTTTATCCTAGAAACATACACGAGAGAGCAATGTATTGCATTTAATGGTGTTTAATGAATGAAACATAAAAAATATACAAATTATAAGGGAAGTGTAAAAACTTGATGCTTAAAATATTGTTAACTAGAAGACTCTCGTTGACAAAATACGATCTTTGATTCAAAAACATTATAAATTTAGCATCAGTCTGGTCATATATGAAATAGTAATTTTAGTCTTTAGGTCAAAGAGTGGTAAGGTTTATATAAGGTGGAAATACATTTATAAAACGCATTGTATTATATATCAATGAAAACAATAATTATTGAAATAGAATTATAGTTTATTTGTAATTGAGCACAAAGCTACACAATGGGCTATCTGTGCTCTGCCCGTCACGGGTATCGAAACCCGGATTCCTGCGTTATAAGGTCGCAGGCATACTGCTGTGCCACTGGGGGGCTAGAATTATAGCAAATGATAAATGTGTGATGTGAAAAATTACCTGTCACAAGTTATAATTATTATCATTATCACAAACATTTGTAAACTTTTAAAAATATATGTATTTGATTGACCACCGCTAATCTCGGACTACTCTTATCAGACCGAAT